AATAAATAAATAAAAATAATAAACATGAAAGCTTATATTACTCAGATTACTACTGATGTTATCAAACTTAAGAGAAATTGATTTTATTAAAGAATTTCTTTGATTTTAATGTCACTAAAATAAATGTAAATCACTTAGATACTGTAAAAGGAATTTTGAAATAAAAGCAAGAGTATTGCCACTAACTTAACTAACGAAATATTTTACATCCAGTCCTTGGATTTTAGCTGTAGCATGTGTAGTTCTACTTGCTGCTTCTATTCTAATAATAGAAATTTTAAAAAGATTTTAAATAATCAACTCAAAACTGTTTTAGTCTTGTTCTGTTCAGATATTCAACCTGCCTTGGTCATCTCTGACTCAGTCCAACCACAATCATTGATTTTTGTTAGTTTATATCCCTTCCTCCTGTTCTGTGACCTGGCCACTACCATTTTAAGAGTTCATGTTCTAGGTACTTTAGTCTGAAATGATTCTTTATATGTTCTACCTTTTTCCATTACTCTAGCTAGGAAGTAAAGCACAGTGCTAGGGCCAGAAATAAGCCTCACTGTTCAGAGAATATGTTTACATATATCCATATTCCATAAAGACTTATTTTGGAGAGAGAGCAAGTGAGCGAGTGAGTGGTGGGGAGGGGCAGAGGGAGAGGGAATCCCAAACAGACTCCACACTGACCACAGAGCCCTATCTCACCACCGGGGGCTCAATCTCAGGACTCTGAGATCAGGATCTGAGGTGAAACCAAGAGTTGGACGCTTAATCGACTGCGCCACCCAGGCGCCCCTCCATATTGCTCTTAAAACAAATTCATATTGTTAGCCTTGAGGTATATAGCTTGATCCCAGAACATACAGCACTGTTGTTGTCAAAGTAAACACTTTATTCCATATATGTCCTTTGCCCAGGTGGGTTGAGAGATAATTTCCCTTAAATTAAGTAAGATCTGGCTTTCCAATAATTGAACTTTTCCTTGATGTTTTCAGATACGTGATAATAGGATTCCTGAATATTAACTTTTTGAATGTTGAAGTTCTTTTGTACAAAGAGTAAAAATTGTTACAGCTGTAGTACAATTATTTCTTTTAGTGTTGTTCTTGTATTTGTGTGTTACTATAACTTATAATTTTGTGACTCATGGGTTGATTTTTAATGTGGTTGGCAGATCAGAACTGCAGCATGGCACCTGGCTGTCATTTGCCATGGAGCCTCAACCTCTGGTTTTCTGAGTGATGCCCAGTACAGGACTGTCACTCAGGGTCAGACTCAGCCAGGGCATTAAATACTTCATGCTTCTTTACATGCCATGCAAGGTCTTGTGTGTCTTTTAGCCACCTCCTCCTCCTGACATCAGTTATGTAATGGTACCACTCTGGTTCAAAAACCAAGCCATTGTTGCATTTTCCTTTGCCCTTTTATCCAGCCAGTCATCAAGCTTGGTGATAGAACTCATGGATTCTCCTAAACACAAGTTATTTTTTTTCCTGGTCTCACTGCTCCCACCCTAAGTCATCAAAGAACACCCCCTGTTACCTTCCCCAACTCCAGTCCATCTATATCCACTGGTAGGTAGGCGAATATCCTTAAAGCCAACTGCTCTGTTCATAGCTTGACCTCAGTTAGAAACCTTTTAATGGCACTTGTGTACATGCATGCACACACAAGCACAGTCACCCCTCCCATTGGCAGCTGGATGAAGCCCCAATTTTTATCCCAGTATGCAAGGTCTTCCATCTTGACTCTTAGTTTTTTTAGCCTCATCTCCTACTCCTTTCTCCACAGTCTGCTTATATAGCTCCTGGCCGTCCTAGAACTTGATTGGGACTTTTTTTTTTTTTTTTGGCCTCAGCCCATGTAAGTCCCTCTGGACCCCTGAGGTGATCTCTCCTGCCTCGTTATTTTACTTTATTTCTTTTTGTTTTGTGGCATATTATTGCCTAAGTAGTGCTTTGCAATTGACCAAAGTGCTTTTGAATCCATTACTTTATTTAAATTTTACAACCTCTGTATGAGGGAAGTAAGACCGGTGTGTCGTATCACAAGGGAGGAAGCCAATGCTTGAGGAGGGAAGAGTGACTTGTCCAGTGTTGCAGTTCATAGAGTGGAGCTAATGCTCAAATCCAAGCCTCCTAGAACATAAACTCCAACCTTTGTTTATTTATGCTGTTACTATCTTCCTTGGTGCCTGAGTCTGCATGTAAGTGTAAGTTTGATTATCTCTTCCCAGTTGTCTGCAAGTTATTTGAAGTTGTGTTTTATTCCCTTGGAACATATATGTATATGAGTGAGCCCATTCATATATTAAATATATTGCAGCTCAGTGTTCTCTTTCTCTATAAAAAATCATGCTTCTGCTTTCTGAGCCTCGTTTCCCCTTTGTTTGTGTGTGTTTAAGTAGAAGTGAAGCTTACTTGTTATAATAAAACTGGAGCTTTATATAATGAATTTAATTTCTGGGATAACTTTTCAGCAATGCACTCCACATCCACAAGTGTATATTGTCTGTGAAGAGATTAAGCCTAATGCTAGACTACTGAGAAGTGATTTCACACTTTTCAAGTATAAGTGTCCTGAAATTTCATACAGTTGTACCTATAATTTTGTATGTTGACTGGATGAGAACATGTATACCAACAAAAGCTGATGCGAATTCAGTAACAATTTTAATGGATTTAAATTTTATTCATTATATCATCAACATATATTTTTTAAAGATTTTATTTATTATTTATTTATTTATTCATTCATTATTTGAGATAGATAGGGAGAGCACAGAGGGAGAGTGAGAGCCTGGTGTGGGATTTGATCCCAGGACCCTGAGATCATGACCTGAGCTGAAGGCAGACACTTAACCGACTGAGCCACCCAGTTGCCCTCATCAACATATATTTTAAAAATAATAGTACATACATATACAGCACGTGTAGTACTCACTCTATAGGAAATGCTTGGTGCCCCTAGTACTTAAAAATCTTGGTAACTCCATGGTTCCTTAGTTGGGAGTCACTCAGGGATTCTGGCTTTGTCCTACATCACTCATTGTTGCCTTAGGAAGTTTCTTGTGAGAAATTTCCTACACTGCCAAGGGGTTGGAAAAGCATTGCTTCCCTGCGTAATGGCTTTGTTTTCCTTTTAGACAGTGGGAGGGGCACCTGGCTGGTTTCATGGGTAGAACATGTGACTCTTGATCTCCAGGTCGTGGGTTTGAGCCCCACGTTGGGGGTAGAGTTTAATTAAAAAAAAAAAAAAAGATGTAGCTGGTGGGACCTATGCAGCTGACTTCCCATTTTCAAATTGGCCTTTAAGAAGCTTAGAGCCAAAAACATCAGTCAGTCATATAGCTGTATAGATCCTCAGGGCCAGCTTAAGTTTTCCATCTTATACTTCGATAGTGACTTAGTGTTGTAGTTTGCTTGGTCTTGATTTTTTTTCATTTATATTTTATCATTTTATTGCATGTGTTTCCCAAAAGCAAACTAAAATTCTGTGAAAATGAATAAACACTCTAGCCCTTCTATGACCAGCTTTATTTTAGGTCCTGGGTCTATCTATTCTAAGTACTGATACCTATTTGCATATGTCTTACTCTTTATGCTGCATGTGAAACATGCTCAGAAGTCAGAATTTATATGGAAAAGCCAAACCTAAGCATACTATTAGAAAAATGTAGTTTCATTTAATATGAATCACTTTCAGAAACTTCTTACACTGTCTACTAAACCATGTCTCAAAAAGTAGAATGTCTCTTGTGGGAGGAAGCAAAGCCTTGTTGATGATGATAGCATGCCTCTCCTAACAGATTTGAGATCACTCCTGGCAGGGGTAATTTTTTTTTAATTAAATAAATTTTTAAATTAAATAAAATCCACACGCAGGACTGGGAGGGCAACTTCTTTTTTCAGTGTTTATCCTTTTGAATTTTGTGCCATGTGCGTATATCACCTATTCAAAAAAATTTATCAAAGAAGTTCATAGTCCTTTTCAGTAGAATTGTAAAAAATTTCTCTCCAGCCTAATAGACTATGAGCTCTTTGAGACCAGGAAATGTGCTAGATTTCTCTCTGTTATTTCTGAACCTAGTCCAGTTCTTTATACATAGTAAGTCCCCAGCTGGTGTGCATAGATGTAAATTGGAAACCAAGAGTTACAAATTTCAATAAGATCACAGCTAAAAATTCTTGACTGTGGATGTGCCCCCTTAACTCTGCTACCCTTTTCAGAGTGAAGCTGAGCACAGCTTCCTTGCTCTGAAGTAAGATTGATTTTTATTGAAATTCATTAAAAGAACTTAAAAGAAAAGTAGAATTTTTCCTAGTCACGGATTATGTTTGTTCAATTATTACAGTGTGGATTTTTCCAGATGTGACCTCCAAACTCCTTTTCATCTCTTTTTGCAGATCTTTGTAGAATTTGATGGCTGTAACTGGAAGCAACACTCCTGGGTTAAAGTTCATGCTGAAGAAGTTATTGTGCTTCTGCTGGAAGGGTCTCTGGTATGGGCACCCCGGAAGGACCCAGTCCTTGTCCAGGGCACTCGAGTCTCAATCACACAGTGGCCAGCCCTGGTGAGTGATTTATTGGCTAGGAACATATTTGGGCTTTACTCCTATATTATAACTGTAACTATGGTATTTACCCAATAGCTGAACTCTTTAGAACTCCCAAAACTCCACGCTTATCCCTAATATACCTTTGTTCTGAAGTTACTAAAGCAAAAATTGGGAGATTTTTTCTCCTGTGTCTTCTGAAACTTACTTTGTTTTATTGAAGTATAATTAACATACAGTGTTTATGTTAGTTTTAGCTGTACAATATAATGATTCAACAATCCTATATATTACTCAGTGCCCATCGTGATAAGTATACTCTCAATCGTCTTTATTTCATCCCTGTCCCCACCTACCTCCCCTCTGGCTACCACCAGTTTGTTCTCTGTATTAAAGGGTTTTTTGGGGGTGCCTGGGTGGCTCAGTCGTTAAGCGTCTGCCTTTGGCTCAGGTCATGATCCCTGGGTCCTGGGATCGAGCCCCGCATCAGGCTCCCTGCTCCGCGGGAAGCCTGCCTCTCCCTCTCCCACTCCTCCTGCTGTGTACCCTCTCTCGCTGTGTTTCTCTCTGTCAAATAAATAAATAAAATCTTTTAAAAAAAAAAAATTTATAAAGGGTTTTTTTGTCTCTTTTTTCTTTGTTCATTTTGTTTCTTAAATTCCACACATGTGTGAAATCATACGGTATTTGTTTTCCTTTGTTTGACTTATTTCACTTAGCATTATACCCACTGAGTCCATTCATGCGGTTGAAAATGGCAAGATCTCATTCTTTTTTATGGATGAATAATACTCCATTGTGTGTGTGTGTGTGTGTGTTTTCTTTATCCATTTATCTGTGAATGGACACTTATTGCTTCTATATCTTGCCTATTGTACATGACCCTGCAAGAAACAGGAGTGCATGTATCTTTTCAAATTAGTGTTTATGTTTTCTGGGTAAATACCTAGTAGTAGAATTAATGAATCATCTGGTAATTGTATTTTTAATTTTTTGAGGACGTTTCCATTTCCCACAGTAGCTGCACCAATTTACATTCCCACCAACAGGGCAGGAGGATTCCTTTTTCTCCACATCCTCACCAACACTTGTTATTGCTAGTCTTACTGATACTATCCATTCTGACAGGTGTGAGGTGGTATCTGATTGTGGTTTTGTGCATTTCCCTGATGAGGAGTGCTGTTGAGCATCTTCTCATGTGTCTGTTGGCCATCTCTATGTCTTCTTTGGAAGACGGTCTGTTCAGGTCCTCTACCCATTTTTAATTGGATTATTTGGGCATTTTTATGGTGTTATGTGTTTTTTATATTAACCCCTTATGGGATGTATCATTCTCCAAATACCTTTTCCCATGGAGTACGTTGCCGTGTCATTTTGCTGATAGTTTCCTTTGCTGTGCAAAGGCTTTTTATTTTGGCATAGTCCTGATAGTTTATTTTTGCTTTTGTTTTTCCTTGCCTGAGGAGACATATCAAGAAAAATGTTTTTATGGCCAGTCAACGAAATTACTGCCTATGTTTTATTTTATGGTTTCAGGTTTTAACATTTAGGTGTTTAATCCATTTTTTTTTAAGATTTTATTTATTTATTTGAGAGAGAGAGAATGAGAGAGAGCATATGAGATGGGGGAGGGTCAGAGGGCAAAGCTGACTCCCTGCCCAGCAGGGAGCCCGATGCGGGACTCGATCCAGGGACTCCAGGATCATGACCTGAGCCGAAGGCAGTCGCTCAACCAACTGAGCCACCCAGGCACCCTAGGTGTTTAATCCATTTTGAGTTTATTTTTATATGGGTGTAAGAGAATGATCTAGTTTTATTCTTTTGCATGTAGCTGTACAGTTTTCCCAACAATATTTGTTGAAGAAACTATCTTTTCCTCATTGTATATTGTTGTGTCCTTTGTCATAGATTAATTGACCATATAAGCTATAAGCATGGGTTTATTTCTGGACTCTCTATTCAGTTCAGTTGATCTTTGTGTCTAATTTTGTGCCAGTACTGAAAATTTTTATATTAGGTAATATTTGATACTTTTGTTTCTAAAGAATTTTTCACCTTTAGTGTCTTCTCATAGTAAGGTTATGAAACAATGTAATCCTTAAAGTCTTTTCTTTCTGGAAGAACTCATTATTTTCCCCCCCAGCTAGATAAAATTGACATACAACCTTGTGCAAGTTTGTGAACAACATGATAATTTGATATACATATATACTGTGAAATGATTGCCACACAGTAAGGTTAGGTAATATATCCACTGGTTCACATAGTTAATATTTGGTGTATGTGTGATCAGAACTTTTAAGATTTACTTTCTTAGCAACTTTCAAATATACATTATTGTTAACTTCAGTCACTATGCTTTACATTAGGCCCCTCACAACTTACAACTGAAGTTTGTACCCTTTGACCACCTTTACCCATTTCACATTCCCTCTGACCCATGGGAATCACCAGTCTCCACTGTATCTCTCAGTTCTTTTTTTTTTTTTTTGTAGCTTCCATATGTAAATGAGATTCTATCTTTTTTTTTTTTTTGTCAGAGAGCGAGCGAGCACAAGCAGGGGTAGCAGCAGGCAGAGGCAGAGGGAGAAGCAGACTCCCCACTGAGCAGGGAGCCCGATGCGGGGCTCGATCCCAGGACCCTGGGATCATGACCTGAGCCGAAGGCAGACACTTAACCAGCTGAGCCACCCAGGCGCCCCGAGATTATATCTTATTTGTTGTTCTCTGTCTGACTGATTTCACTTGGTAAAATGCTCTCAAGTTTCATCTGTGTTGTTGTAAGTGGTGGGCTTTCCTCCTTTTTTATGGCTGAATGGTATTCCTGTGTGTGCACATACCACATCATTTTCCTTATCCGTCATCCGTCACTGGATGCTTAGGTCGTTTCCATATCTTGGCTGTTGTGAATAATGATGCAGTGAATGGGGTGCAGATTTTCTTTTGAGATGGTGATTTCATTTTCTTCAGATATATTCCCAGAATTGGTATTGCAGCATCATATGGTAGTTCTGTTTTTAATTTTTTGAGGATCCTCCATGCTGTTTTCCATAGTGACTGCACCAGTTTACCCTCAACTGTGCACAGGGGTTCCCTTTTCTCTGCCTCCTTGCCAGCCCCTTTTATTTTTTGTCTTTGATGATAGCTCTTGTAACAGGTGTGAAGTGATGTCTCCTTGTGGTATTTATTTGCATTTCCCTAATGATTAGTGATGTTCAGTCCCCCTCCCCACTTTTTTAGAGAGAGAGTGCACATGGAAGTGCAGAGGGGGCAGAGGGAGAGGGAGAGAGAATCTCAAGCACACACCACTCCGGGCTCAGCACAGAGCCCAGTGCAGTGCTTGATCTCAACAACCCTGAGATCATGACTTGAGCCAAAATCAAGAGTCAGACACTTAACTGACTGAGCCACTCAGGCGCCCCTGTTCAGCCCCTTTTTATGTACCTATGGGCCATTTGTGTATTTTCTTTGGATAAATGTCTGTTTGGGTGATTTGCCCAGTTTTTAAATTAGATTATTTTTGCTTTTGAATTGTATGAGGTCCTTATATATTTTAGATATTAACCCTTTACCCAATATATGATTTCTCCCATTCCTTATATTGCCTTTTCATTTTGTTGGTCATTTCTTTTGCTATGCGTAAGCTATTTAGTTTGTTTATTTTTGCTTTTGTTGTTTGTGCTTAGTTTTTTTTTAGTAAGTTTTGTTTTCTGAAGTCTGACAGAGTAGTGGTGTAAGTTTAATTCTGAGAGTATCCATTGTTTATATCCTGTTAGCAAAGTAAAGCATAAATGTCTACTTTTTAAAAAAAAAATCTAATTCTCCTGTGGCTAACCAGAGTAAATAAATAATACTCAAACCAAATATTTTTTACCTATTGATTATACACAGCATCATTTACTGGACTGTCTTTTTGTTTGTTTGTTTGTTTTTTAAATTTTTATTTATTTATTTGACAGAGAGAACAAGAGAGGGAACACAAGCACACAGAGAGAGAGGAGAAGCAGGCTCTGAGCAGGGAGCCCGATGTGCGGGCAATGCAGGGCTCAATCCCAGGACGCTGGGATCATGACCTGAGCTGAAGGCAGACACTTAAAGACTGAGCCCTCCAGGCGCCCCTTTTTGTTTGTTTTTAAGGCCACTTCCAATTGAACTTTTAGAAGAAGCTCAAACGGACATGGGCCCCTGGGTGACTTTTGTAGGCTGTTTATCAAACAGCAATATGAATTTACCCATGAACATTTATACCAGTGATTATTTTACAAATCTAACAAAGATTTCAGGAGTTCTAGAGACAATAATGGTATAAGTCTTTATTCTGGGAATTTACTGTAATTTAGCCCTCTTGAAGCCTGACAAGATTTGTCAGATCCCTAGAGGGATTGAGGAATTTCTCATTCTTTGTGTCCTTTTTAGCTGTAAATAAGACTATTGAGCTGACTTTCTGGTCTAGTTTGCTTCCTAGTATTATTTGTGGGGTAGATGCTGGGCTGGGAATGTTTTTAAGAACTTACACTTTAGCTTATCTGTATTTACTGGAGTGAAATATATTAATAATGGATATTTTCTCTAAAGTTAGAGATGTGGTTGAATTGTTATCTATTTTCTTTTCCAAGTTCTAATCAATTTGTCCTTTCTCTTTCACAGACTTTCACTCCCCTGGTAGATAAACTTGGTTTGGGTTCTGTGGTTCCAGTTGAATATCTTCTGGATCGAGAGCTGCGTTTCCTGTCAGATGCTAATGGATTACATCTGTTTCAGGTACTTAACACTTGTTCTACTTCTTTTTTTTAAATTAAATTAAATTAAATTTATTTATTTTTTAAAGATTCTGTTTATTCATCTGACAGAGAGACACAGGGAGAGAGGGAACACAAGCAGGAAGTGGGAGAGGGAGAAGCAGGCT